ATGATCTACAACTACCAATTTTCAGAGAAATTCGTGAAAAAATGTGTCAAAAATCATCAAAATACCGAATATTGGGAGGTACCGTTGTATGGGGACTATACCAAAACGTGGACCTATACATACAATGTTTCCCCGCACGAACTAGGAGCCATAATGACCCACAAATACCAATTTTATACAATTCAGTGAAAAAATGTGCAAAAACCATCAGAATACCGAATATCGGGAGGTACCGTTATATGAGGGCTATACCAAATCGTGGACCCATACATGCAATGATTCGCTACCAGAACTGGAACCCATTATGACCAACAAATATCAATTTTTAGACAAATTCGTGAAAAAAGTGGCAAAAATAATCAAAATATCGAATATCGGGAGGTACCTTTATATGTGGGCTATACCAAAACGTAGACCTATACATGCAATGTTTTGCCACATGTACAGGGACCCCTTATGACCTACAAATACCAATTTTCAGACAAATCCGTGAAAAAATGTGGCATAAATCATCAAAATACCGAATATCGGAAGGTACTGTTATACGGGGACTATACCAGAACGTGGACCGATACCAATACCAACCATCCTAGACACAATACAAATTGTTCTGCTACGTCAAATAATGTGGGCTGTATCGTGATTTCAACAGACAGACGGGCATCGTTAAATCGACTTAGAATTTTATGCTGATTATGAATATATATACTTTATGGGGTCTACGACGAATATTTAAGGATGTTACGAGTGACAAAGTTAATATACCCTCCTTTCCAAGGTGAAGGGCATAAAAATGACCATTACATTGACTTATCAAATATTGACAGTTTATTAGTTAATACAATAAAGGAAATGGCGCAGGGAACGCTTTTAGACAAAATTTACAAAGAAACACATATTGATGACATATTAAAAATACTAACCAAAAAACGTTTTGAGGATACATGCATTAGGGATGAATATAGAAAAATAAATATAATAACAATAATAGTCCTCATAAATATAAAAATGAGGGAAACAATTATAATCAAATAAATAGAGGACAAGGAAATAATTTTAACAGAAATAATAACTTTCATTACAATAATAACACCCGAAATTTGTACGGACAACCTTATAGTCCACGAATCGACTAGAACCAAAATAATTCAGGGAATTTCCAAAGAAACAGAAATCAGAATAATGGTAATAATAACAAGTCAGGAAATTTTCAGCGGCTAGCACAGGTAGAACACCCAGGGCCATATTCCGGTCAATTTCGCAGGAATCAACCTTGGCAAGACCACGGCGAACCAATGGAAATTGATAACATAGAAGCAAAGGATTCAACAATTTTAAATAAGGACAATAATAAGCAAAATAAAGAAGAAGTAAATCGATAGAAATAATAGAGGACGGTAAACAAAATGAAAGACAGAATTTATTAAGAAATAATTTATTTCTAAATACAACATCAGAGTTTTTACCTATGATATAATTAACAATAAAAAATAAAGACTATGTAGCATTAATAGATACAGGAGCAAGTATAATTGATGAAAACATTAATGAATTTAAAAAGTATAAATTGCAAGAAGTTATTAAATTTAGCACCATACATGGAATAGGAAAGATAAAATATGAAATATTAACAGATATACCAGATCAATTTAATATTAAAGAAGGAAAATTAAGTGGAAAGCGACACCACTTATAGGACGAAGGTATAACTTTATAATAGGTATAGGTTTACTCAACTCATTTAATGCAGTAATAAATATGGTAGATGGTAAAATTTCTTTCAACAATCTAACAACAAATTTTATTATAAATCCATATAAAAATATTCAAATATGTACGTTAGAAGCATCAGATTTTGACTGGAGTAGAATTGAAATAGGACATTTAAATACCGAAGAATTGGAAGAAGTTACAAAAATCATAAACAGTTTTAAAACATTATTCTTTAAAGAAGGGGATGTACTGACAAGTACCATGGATATAAAACATGGAATTAAAACAACTACAGATGAACAAATAAAAGCTAAACTATACAGATACCCACCAGAACATGAACAAGAAGTGAGAGGACAAACAAAAGAAATGGAAGATCAAGGAATATTTAGGAAAAGCAGTTCTTGATATGCAAGTCCATTAATTGTAGTACCAGAGAAAATAGATAATTTTGGAGAAAGAAAATATAGAATTGTAGTGGATTATAGAATATTAAATGAAATGACAATTGATGATAGTTTTCTATTACCAAATATTGATTCAAGATAAATTGGGGTGAGCACAATATTTTACAACTCTTGACTTAGCAAAGGGATATCATCAAATATTAATAAGAGAAAAAGATAGGTAAAAGACAGCTTTCGTAACACCTCATGGACTATATTAATTTATTAGGATGTCATTTGGTTTAAAAAATGCTCCAGCAACATTTCAAAGGTTGATGAACGAAACTTAACGTGATTATATAAATAAAACTTGTGTAGTATATCTAGACGACATTTAGTACCTCACAGAACATGTTAAAGCAATAACATATATTTTTAAAACTTAAGAGAAAGCTAATTTAAAAATTCAAATAGATAAATGTAATTTCATGAAAAAGGAAACTGAATTTTTGGGACATATTTTAACAAAGGACGGATTGAAACCTAATCCAAATAAATCAAACTATGCAATTCGCGCTGTGCTTTCGCAAGAAGGACACCCCGTTTGTTTTGTATCAAGGACATTGAATGAATATGGAGTGTTAATTATCTAAGACCATACCTATACGGAAGAAAATTTCAAATATTCGGCCCTATTATGGTTGTCGTCGGCGTCGCAAAATGAAGTCGAGGCGACAATAATGATATTAGAGTTGTCGTTTTTTGTCGATAGCGACAAATGATTGCTATTATAATTGTCGATACAACAGTCGACGTGAAGTCGATTTTTAAGAAAATCTGTCGCCGTAAAAAATGGTGACGACGTTGTATTTTTTAGTCGACTTTGATATTGTAACATTTTTTGTATTTGACCATGAAAATAACAAAAGCAAAACAATTTGAAATATTGGTTTACGAATTGAAAAAAAAAATATGTTTGGCAAAAAGGGTATACCAAAAGTCATTTTCCAGCTAATTTTAAATCAGATTGGAATCCATAGCTACCAAATTAAATGTAAACGATTAGAGAATCCTATGGCTGATAAAAAGTGTGTTAAAATTAAAATATTTTTCTATTTTTTATTAGTTAGTTTTCTAAAGATCTTCTAGGTTTGGAAAGATTAAAATTTAAAACTAAAAAGCAATTTTGCACAATAAGGGTGAAGCCAGCAGCACTGGACGTGGTATTTTTAAGCAAACTACTTTGTCGCTTTGGGTGGAGTTCTTCGCGAATGTAATGCAGTTTCAAAAGTTACTGAATCCACCAGGTCGTGCACTGGGAAAAAAATACGGAAAACATAGTTGTAACAGACGTTATAGATCATGAAAATGAGCCAGTGGACAATGCTGATGACGAGACTGATGTAACTATTATCCAAGCTTCTCGATCGTCCAAAAAAAAAACATGATTAAAAGTCATCAAGAAAAGAAGAAACTACTGAACTCTTGAAAGTGCAGTAAAAACTTTTGGAACAGCACAATCAAGAGTCAGGCAAATATGTTTGTTTGCTGCCTTAACACTTGCCGCTGCACTACTAATACATTCTTCTCATCATCCTCACTTGAACTTAAGATATTAACGCATTTATAACCTTCATTTTTTCACTATATTTTTAATTTTTCCGAAAGAGTCGAAATTAGAATTCAAATTACAAAAAAATATCTTATTTTGTCAAGAACAAGGGAGTGTTGCCAACGTTTTTTTTAAATTGTTGCCAACTTTTATTTTAAACTGTCGATGTCGATGCCTTACCGTAATACCATTTTTAAATCAAAGCGACGGTGAGGGCAACTTGCACATAAAGTCGACAAGACTATAGAAATGACAACCGTAATTGGGCCGATTAACAGATCATCAACCAATTAAATATTTTCATACTAAATACAAAGGAATATATCTCCATGACATCAAAGGTGGTTGATTTTGATATAGAATGTATTAAAGGGAAAGAGAATAGAGTGGCAGATTTTTTGAGTAGAATTGAACAAAATAGTGACAACAAAAATGATGAAGATAAGAAAACAGAAATTGTAAAGGAAACCGACATTATCATACATGTAATAAATTTAAATGGAAAACATGAGGGAAAACTTAATTTTATCAAAAATTAGAAATAAGGAAATGTTACAATTAGAATTAATAGAAATTAAAAGTAAACTAATGACTCTGATTCCAAGACCAATAAGAACGAGACCAGGACTAATAAATGGAGTAGGAAAATTATCAAAGTAGTTATTTGGCACAATGGATGACGAAGACAGACAAACTATACAAAATAATTTATTCAATATTAATAATATTAGAGAAAACAATAACCAACCAATTTTAATAATCGTTTAATACGAATTAAAGATTATTATTTTTCAAGTTTTAAAGAATATGAAAGAAAAATACCTATAAAGAATATAATACAATTAAAAATTTTAGTCATCAAATATCATTTGAAAAAAATATAGAAAAACACGAAAACAATGTGAAAAATATAAACAGATTAAACTATACAACAAATTGTCATTTGCATATACAGCTTTCAGAAGTATATATAGCATGTAAGCTACTGAATTCTCGCATGTGTCTGCAGGGTAGTGGAATGTGCGCGCCACGTTTTGTTTGATTTCAACGACCTAGGTTCGATTCCTACTTAATGAGAACTTTTTAAACAACCTAATAGCGAATTTTAGTGTCAGTGTAAAAGAAAAACTAACAACATTTATATTTTACAAAAAACCAGTGAACATTAAACATAAACAAAAAGCATCAAAATTACAAAAAAAAAAAAAAAAAAACAAAGAATATTACAAAATTACGTACATTAAAAAACTTTCTACAACATACAATATACAACAAAAGTGTGAACAAATTGTACAAAAAAGATTAACAGCCTGTTCCACGATCTCGAAAGAAAATTTGTGCGAACGAAGGCTACTCACTCACTTTCGTATAAGAATGCGTTCCACTAACTTTCGTTCTTTCTTTCGCATAGCCTTACGTGATTCAGTGTTGCTAAATATTTTTTTGGAAAAATTAATCGCGAAATAAAGCAAAAAAAGCGTCAAATGTCTAATTTAAACGCGAAAAAGCAGCAGTGGATCTGTCTCAACTGACATTTCAGTTGTAAACAAACAAATTGTAAATAAACAAACAAAATAAAATTTCTAGTGATTGTGTTCAAACTATTTGTGCTCTTAGAAAATAAAAAAAGAATATTTCCGTTGCCCTATTTTTTATGGAGGAGGTTCGAAATGTGCCACGAAGGCATTTAAGAGATGCTTCGAATTTATTTGAAGTACCTAACAACCAGTAAGTATGATTGTATTTTTACATTTTTGAAATAATAAAAAATGATTTCTAGGTTTGTGGCCAACTTTCGTGTGTCGAAGGAAGTTTTCGGGCTCTTTTGGATATGATGGAAGAGAAGTGGTTGCCCGGTTGCAGAACTACCCAAATCCGCCCCGATTTAAAACTTCTTCTGCTGCTTCCAAAAATTGGCATTCCTCTGGCGAACACAGGATTCTCCTCCATTTACTCAACTAGTGCCCGCAGCTGTGTAGTTGATGATTTTTTCGTGCTGGAATTGAGAAAATAAAAAAAATATATATTTGTTGTTCACATATTAAATTGCATTTATTATTTTTACTTACATTTTTGTTTCCATTTTCAATCAAGCAATGTTTATGTTAAAACAATTTTCCTTAATTGTTATTATACGATAGCAAACACACAAGTGACTGATTTTGACATTTGTGTTCGCATGCGTACGAAAGAAAAAAGATAGTGGAACGCAAAATTACACTGAAATGCTTACGTTTTCGTTCGCTTTGATTTTCGTGCAAATTTTCGTTCTGATAGATTTTAGTGGAACGGAAATCAGCTGTTTGTCGTGTAAAAGTTGTGCGAACGTGTTCTTTCGATATCGTGGAACTGGCTGTAAGTGTTTCTTATGAAACTTATTGCTAAAACTTACCTGCTAACTTAAAACTTACAACTGAGGTAAAACTTAAAAACTACTGAATTACAAACTAAATAAAATTATCTAAATTAAGCAAAACTTATGAAATAGTGAAAACGATTTATAACTTAAAACTATTTTATATCTAAATTGCACTACCCCAAAATTCAACATTTTCCGACTGACTAGTCGGATTCCCACTCAAAAAAGAATTTAGTACTCGCCTTAATTTCTTTTCAGATATGGCCGCTTACTTGCCTAAACAGGACTGCCGTCTGGACGATCGCAACCGTAGCCCAGACTCACCTGCCCGTCCAACAGCAAAAAGCGCCAATAGACCCATACGGCCAATCCAAAGTCCCAGTTCCACATCCCCTGAAAGGCGACAGAGAAGTCGATCCGACGCAAGACCCCGCCAACGCCAAGAAAGACCAAGTTACTGGCAATATTCGTGTGGACTATGCCAAGATGACCATGCCCTCAGTGCCTGTGAACGGTTCCGCAGACAGACGCCCTTCCAGCGGTATGAGACAGTGGAGCGTCGGGGGTATTGCCGAAATTGCCTGGCTAGAAGCCATTTGGCCCCCGACTGCCCGTCCTTAAATGGTTGCCGGAGATGCAACGACCGGCACCATACCTTACTGCACTGGGCGTCTCAGTTGGACGAGGTATCCCTCAACATCGAGGCCGTAACAACCCCAGCCTTCGCGTGGGATTTGGTTTTTGTACCGGCGGCTATGGTACGCATAACGGCCGAGGGCATGGATGGGTTTAGTATGTTGCAAGCCATTATTAGCCAATCTGCAACGATGTCTAAGATTTCGTATGCCGTGTTCCGTCGCCTGGGTCTGCAGTCGCGAGTTTACAAAGGGGAGCGAAGGTAAATGCGCTAATTATCGAAGATCTGCCAAGACGCGTCTACTCAGAACCAATCCTAGAAGACCCTACTAGATGCTTTACGAGCTACGCCATAACTGACCCTGATCCCAGGGGAAATAGTCCGATCGACGTGGAACTGGGAGCGGACACGTACGCCGCCATAAAGAAAGATGGGTGTACAGCAGCCGAAATTGCAGATGTCCCGGCCTACAATACAACTGGGCTGCGTCTTTCCTGGCCAATCAAGAATATGCCGAGGAACGGATGAACATGAAGTCTTGTGGTATATTACAAATGAATACTTACACCTGTCATTCGGGGCACAGAAAATGTTCATAAATTTACGCAACTTTGCCCAACACTGTTGGTTGAACAAACAAATTGTTTCTTATGAAACTTATTGCTAAAACCTACCTGCTAATTTAAAACTTATAATTGAGATAAAACTTAGAAACTACAGAATTACAAACTAAATAAAATTATCTAAATTAAGCAAAACTTATGAATTAGTGAAAGCGATTTATAACTTAAAACTATTTTATATCTAAATTGCACTACCCCAAAATTCAGATAAAAGAACTAAAAATTAAACAAAAAATATTTTTATTAAACTATAAAAAGGCTCGAAGGCAAAAAAAAGGTAAGCCTAAAAACAAATAGTAATATGGGTTCCATGGAGTAGACAGTACAGGCTCTTCAAGATCGCTAACTTTACAGAGAATTTTATTTAGTATATTAAATTTTTTTTAAATTTATCAGTTTGTAGTTATCCAGTATTTAAATTTGTTTTTAACTTCACACCAATCTGTTACACTGAGAATTATAACTGTTATACAGTATTTGATCTGTTTAAGTCTTCGCTAGTTAAATTCGTTTTTATCTTCACGCACATAATTTTTTTGTAAAATTATTCTTACTTCTTCAAGGAAATTTATTACAAATTCCTTTTGTTCTTCTGAGACTCTTTCGACACGGACCGATTTTTCCATTTTCACAGAATTAATTTATTTAAAAAAATATTTTTGATTTAATTTTCATGATTGCGTAGAATCGAAATAGCTTACTTTGTCATAATATGAAAACACAAGTTTCACTTTGTATCGTTCCTTTCACATGAAAGAATAAAAACATATGTTTGTGCGTTTTCGTAGAACTCGAATCGGAAACGGAAACGTTTTCATTTTACGTTTTCATAGAACTAGAATTAACCCCCTGCTCAGTTTCTGTTTAGTAATTTGTTTATTTTTCGAGTTTCACCTCGTGTATTTTTATTTGATTTAAACAAATTTCGGCTTGTCTGACTGCTGAATAATCTTTTGTTTCTTTGCTCAATCGCCAAGCTTGAGAACAATGCAGTTTTGCGTCATTTAGTAACCCCTCTTGTAAAAGGATTAAACCTAAGTTGATTTGAAGTATAGCTTCTTGTTGATAGTCATCAGATACTTTTGCTAGTCTTATTGCAGTTAAAATGTAAGATTTTGCTTCAGAGAGTCTATTTAACTAAAAATAAAGAAATTGTTTGGGTGAAAAAGTTGTTATTGTCAAGAAAATAAATGTATGAAAATACGACTGTATAAATACCTTTGCGCATGCCACGCTTAAGTCATTTAAAATTGTTATACTCTCCGTGTTTTTGAAGCCATAAATTTCAATGAAGCACTCATAAGCGGAAATTAACTGAAGTCTTGCCTTTTCATATTCATTGGTTTTTATAAGTAGTTGACCAAACCTAAAATAAAAAATAAATTTTCAATTTAATTGAGACTACGATTATTACGGGAAGTATGTAGGTTCACATGTATTGCTACCTCGAATTCCTCAATAGCAAAAAGATTGCAGTTACTTTTACGCTTGGAATTTGCTATGATATATAATAAATTTCAAGGACAAATTTAGCATGTTCCTGCTTTTTTCATGGTCGGCTTGTGTGTTTACGCTTCTGAAGAAAAACAAAAGAAAATTGTATATCCTAACCGCATACACGAAGAATTTGTCTTTGGATTTATTAATTGTCATAGCAAAAACAATAAATAAAAACATTGACATAAGTAAAATAACATAACAGACACGAGTGTAGATGTGAAATAAATAATATCCAAAATTGCAGAGAAGGTACAAGTTGATATTAGCAACAATGGCATAGATAAAGTTGTCAAACTGCAAAAGAAGAATAAAATTATTATTGCGTTTTTAACTATAAAGAAAAAAAGAGAAATTATTAGACCATCAAAAAAGTGCCTCACAATTCCTTCTTGAACTGGAACATAATCTAACCGATATTCGCGATAAAAACAACCTAATAGAAGTAGCTGATCTAAATATAGACAAAATGAAACCAAATGTAATACCTAATAGAAGTATTTAAGCTTTATGTCAAAAAATAAATTAAGGTGTATAATTTCAATGCCTACGAGGAAAAGTGTAAATCTCATAACTAAAACATGCATAGGTCATCTCTTTATCCGATGGAACATATATCTAATAGAAACCAATTTTGCCATTATAACAATCGACACTTCCGATCTCTACGCATTGTTCCCATGCATAGACGAAGCACAAACCAAAGAGTAGAACATTTTTTCTAAGTATAAAATCGACACTTGCAAACTTGTAAATAAAAAAATTCACGGATAAAAGAATGTATTCCTAAATCCTGTAGTATAAGAGACAAATTGTACAAAAAATGACACAAAAACAAATGAAACAGGACAAATGAAGTCATATACATCAATATCCAAACTAAATAAAAAAATAATTAAACCAAAAATGATTACAATTCCTTGAGAACGAAAACAAAATACGTGGAACTTGGCAGGTAATTGATAAGGTTATTGACACACAAAAAAATAACGAACATGACGAAGCCTACATTAAAGAGATTCATCACAACTACTAACTTCAGCCGTCGGATTCCCACTCAAAAAAGAATTTAGTACTCGCCTTAATTTCTTTTCAGATATGGCCGCTTACTTGCCTAAACAGGACTGCCGTCTGGACGATCGCAACCGTAGCCCAGACTCACCTGCCCGTCCAACAGCAAAAAGCGCCAATAGACCCATACGGCCAATCCAAAGTCCCAGTTCCACATCCCCTGAAAGGCGACAGAGAAGTCGATCCGACGCAAGACCCCGCCAACGCCAAGAAAGACCAAGTTACTGGCAATATTCGTGTGGACTATGCCAAGATGACCATGCCCTCAGTGCCTGTGAACGGTTCCGCAGACAGACGCCCTTCCAGCGGTATGAGACAGTGGAGCGTCGGGGGTATTGCCGAAATTGCCTGGCTAGACTAGACAACTACTAACTTCAGCCGGAATGTAATGAATATAATTGAACAATGTGATATAACGACATTGATATAGACATTAAAAGAACCGTTCAAATTCAATATCAACAAATTCAAATATAAACAAAAATCTCAGTCGATATAACAGCTGCATTGCTCTATTTATAGACTTAAGTAGAGCCTTTGATACGTTATCTCATGAAAAGATAGAGTGCCTGACAAAAAATGGTTCCAAGAATACCTTACATGTAAATCTTTTAATGCAAAGATTGACCATGACCATATGGAGTCCCACATGGATCAAAACTGAAACCCATTTTGTATCTAATATACTGTGTTATTTTGTAGTGCTGACCTTGCTTTTCAAAATACTCCAGACACAATAGTCCAACGGATTGGTATTCGGAGATTTTGGTGGCCACTGTGCGCTGGAAATGAAGCGAGGAACTTCATTTTGTAACCATTCCTGGGTGACGCGTGCTGGGTGCGATGGTACTGAGTCCTGTTGGAATGTCCAAGGTCTGCGGCCAAAATGTCTGCATGTCCAAGCTTTAATACACCCTCCAGAATAATTTCGCGATAATATTCGGCATTTATACTGATGCCACGGTCGGCTGTTATGGCGGCCCACACCATCACCATGGCCGGCGCTTGAGTTCTGGAGGGCAACCGAAGGAGCACATTTTAAGCTGACCTCTTTGGCAAGTAAACACGATCATTTTGTTTGTTTACAAACTGCTGGGCAACAAATGTTTTTTCATCTGAGAAAACCAAATTCGGCAGTTCACCACTTTCGACCAAGAGAAGCAACTCTTTAGCACTTTTGAGTCTATTTTCTTTCTGTTGCGGCGTAAGTTCTTGCGTCTTTTGGAATTTCAATGGCTTAATGTCGAAAAATAATGCGATATGTTGAACTCACGCGCCATTTTCGGACACTGCGACGCGTGTTTCGATCAAGTCGCTTCTTTACTTTTCGAACCATTTCTGCTGATGTTGCTGTTTTCTTCCGTCCACTTCCTTGACGCCCGACGCTACGCTACCAGTACTACGGTAACGAGCGATGGTACGAGACACAAAAGATTTATTCACATTTAAATGTTGGAGTGCTCTAACGATAGCCACTTGTGGTCTTCCAGCCAAAATATAAAGAAATCAGACCATCACGCTTGAATTCCATCACGAATCACATTTTTTTTTTTTTTTTTTTTTGGTAAACAATATAATGAGCTGTCACTGAAATAATTTTAACAGCTGTCGGACCAGTGGCTTAGAAATGACGGCAGTCTGAAGTTGGTTGCATTTTTTTTTTCATTTAACCCTGTATACCAAAGAATGATTCAAAATCTTCAAACAAAGTGTCTGGTTCACATGCAGATGATACTGCAATATTTGTATCACATACTGATGTAAATCAAGCAACATAAATTGCGCCATGAAAATTGACTTATAAATCCAAATGAGACGAAAATTATGCACTTTGGCCAAGAAGTGTTCTAAAACACTATATTCATATTATGTTCCATGACAATGACTTTCTACGCAGTACCAATGTACAAACTAATCATGAGAAGTATACCACAAAGCTCGAAACCGTGAAAAAATACAAATATTTAAACGTCCAATTAGACAAAAACTTCAAATGGAAAAGTCAAATTGAAAATATACAGAAAACAAACTTAAGAAATCGGTTTTTGTGCTGTATGGCCTGGGCAAATGTGCCCCTTACTACGTCTTCAAACAAGCATACTACTCCCTGATAGAATTACATTTAAGACATGGCATTACTATTTAAGGATATGCACACCGCTGCAGACTTCAAAAGTCACAAGATGAATTGTTAAACACAAAAAAATTTTTGTATTACCAACAACACAGCAACATACAAATAATATGAAGGAGTTATATTCAGTAACAATTGCAGAATTCTCTGACGATGTGAAAATCTTCGACCAAGTTCAAGAATGTGTTTTTTTTTTTTTGTCAATTTTATATAGTTTTTTTTTTTTCAATTTGACTTATCATATTGACTTCCATTATTTTTTTTTTGTTTGTGACCAAAATAAAGGATTATTCTTCCATCTATACATATAAAAGAAGTTTTTGTTAGTTACTACGCTTATAACTCAAGAACTACTGGCCCGATTTTGACAATTAACAAAAATTGCGTAAAAATACGCTAATAAAAATGTGATATAAATTTTGTTTGTTATGTATATTTTCTTAATCTATACATATACTAGCTGGCCCAGTCCGCGTTGCCGGCCCGTAGTATTAGTCTTTAATGCATAGTTTTTAAAGCATAATAATTCACAAATCTGGCTCACATAAGTGGCACAATTTTAAGTATTTATTAATAGAAATAAGTATATATTAAATAGAAATAATTAATTCAAAAAACCTGATCCTATTTTTCAGTGAGAGGTTTTAATTTGAGAGTTAAAAACCTAAATAATATAGCATATATATTAAAAAGTATACATTAACTGTTTATAATAGGCTCATGTAAGTTGGTTCCCTACCCCCAAAGTAGCCTAAACACACACTTTAAGTCAAATAGATTCGAAAATATAATCAAAACCCTCGAAATAGGTAAAATCAGGAAGTACTTCTATATGAGCCTTACTCCGAAACATTGACATTGAAAAATTTCCGCAAAGAGGTCTTCTACCAGAAGCTAGATGCCAAATAACCAATAGAAAAATGTGACCAAGACCCTGGAAATAGCTGGAATCAACGGATACCTTCAGATAAGGGTTATACCAAAGCATGGTCCTATAATTATAATTATTTGAGAATTTGTTTTTCTTTCTAAAATCTCAAATTACCAACATTTGAGGAATTTGAAAGGGGCTATATCATTTGAGCGGGGCTATATCACAATGTAGACCAAAATGATACATATTTTGTTCAAATGATTCCTCATGTAACCCCTAGGACTGTATCCAATTTAAAACTTTATCGTAACATTTGCGGAGTATAAAGCAAAATATTTGCAGCTACATAAATAGGACTCCAAAAAAATAAAATCAGGAACCCCTCTTTTGGGATTTTTTCTTACCAACCGACAAATTTCCTAACCCCAAAATTGTCTGCGGCGCAGTGTAATTACTGACGATAGTGCATAGTGCCCGTATAACGTTACATATGATTTAAGGCAGAGTTGGGCATATTGCACTAAATTTTTAGTGCACTAAAAATTAAATAATTAGTGGTAGTGCAATTGTTAATACCACTACCACTAAAGGGTTTGTGGTAGTGAAAAATAAATTGCACTACCACTAACCCTTTAGTGATATTTAAAAAAATGTTAAAACTTAATGGTAGTGAAATTTTATTTTTTATTTTATTTTAGTGATTTTTTTTAAATTTAGTGATTTTTCAAAAAAAATTTGCTACCATTAAATTTTAGCGAAGCCAAAAAAAGATGTATATAAGTATTATACC